CCCAGCAAATTCCCAGCACAACCATGTGCAGAAAGTAGCTTTTCTGTAACAGTGGAGTGATGGCATCTCTGGCTGCTCCTGCCCTTTGTCACTCTGCTGTGTTTGTGCTGGCCATTGCTCCCCCAGAGCACACCAAGCTCAGTGGTGCTCACACACCCTGACCAGCGTTAGGGAGATGAAGGAGCCCTGGGCACAGGATCCACAGCAGCTTCTGCATGAACATGACAAGTGCTGGGGTTTATAACCCAGAAAATCTGGGCTCTGAAGGGCTCTATCTGGCGGGGTGGGAGGCGTGCCGCCCTGCCCAGAGCCACTTTTATGCCATTGTGCCTTTTCAGCATTGCATTAAGGCAGCCAAAGAAGGGGGATTTTTAATGGTTCCAGGGGAACAAAGCGGAAACATTCGACCCAACTTCATTACAGAATCATCTGAAATGCTTGAGGAACGTTTCCCACTAATTATCATAAATAGCCGAAAAAAATCTTTCCCTCCCAAAGCAGGTTCCAGCTGCCCCTCTGTGTTTTCTCACCTCCACTTCCAATAGCCTGACCCTGCCCCCGCACAAAGGGGAGACCCCATCTCCGCTCCCCCCACACTCAGGGGCTCTAAAGAAATACAAACAGGCAGCAGATTAACAGCACTTGTTTGCACCTTAAACAAACAGGAACTTCCGCCCCTCCGGGCTCTCTCACTGCCCAAGGGAGGATGCACCAGCTTGTTTTTCTTGCCCTCGCTCTCATGCCCTGCCCAAACTCTGGATAAAAGCCTGGACAGCCCAAGGCAGGAGGCAGACAGGATGAGAATGCCAGGGGTGTCAGCCCCCCATCTGCTTGAGCCTCGTCCTTAATCTGTGTGTCCTCTTGCTGCCCCACCTGGCCCTGGGGAAGCCAGGCCCCTGCTGCAGTAGGGCTGTGAGATGCCAAGGGCAAAGCAAATGCAGAAATGTCCCAGTTCAGCTCTTGCCCCACGTGTCTCACAGGGCTCCTTGCATGGCTGGTTGGGTACTGTGAGTGGGTGTGGAGAGGGATGCTGAATGGGAAGGATGGAGAGGGGGAGACAAACCATCCAGAAGATACACAGAGGAGTGGTGCTGGTGTTCAAAACCATCACCAGCATCGAGGAGGCACAGCAGCACACTAAGAAATGACTGGCAGCCCACAGGCCATCTCTGCTGGCTGAAATAGGGGATGGATGAGTGCTGCATGTGCCTGTGCAGCCAGACCTGAGGCTGATCCCAGCAGCTGCCCCCTCTGCCAGGGAGCTGCCCCAGCTCGTGTCCTCAGCCTGAAGATCCCATGTTGCCCATCCCACCTCTCCAGTGGCATTGCCAGCATCTCTCTGCTCCCACAGGAACAAGTGACAAACCAGCTCCTTCTTGCTCTGCCCACAGCTCCCCATGCCTGTCAGCACCACCAGCAGCTTTTGAGACACTGCTCCAGCAGAGCTTGGCACATGTCTGGCACCAGCACACGAGGCAGGCATGCAGGGTGGAAGCTGTGGCAGTGTGGCCACAAGCTGGGACAGGTTCTCATCACAAGCCAGCAGTGAGACTTCCCCACCAGAGGCCCAGGCTTGCTCCTTGTGTGGGTTGTTGTGCAAATCCCCTCATGCAGGTGTTCATTGCCTCCCCTTCCCATGAGCCACAATAAAGAGTTTTGCTTGTGAGTCCCCTTCCTGCCCATGGGACAGGATGCCCCAGGGACAGGAAAGGGAACTGAGGCAGGTGGCAGGGACAGGCCACCACACCCACAGCATGGGTGGCTCCCAGCAGGGCTGACATGCAGAGAGCTACAGTCAGTGCTGAAGCATGAGTGACAGTGCTGTGGGAACCACTTCTCACCTGCACAGGGCAGGAGGAGAGCCAGCAGCAGCTGCAGGAGTCCCTGGCCATGCTGGACACCCCTGGTCCCAGCACCACTCAATGACACACATGTGTGGTGTCCTGTCTCTGCTTCTAACAGTTGGTCACCTGAGGCTGTGAGGGACTCAGGCAGTCACAGCAACTGGGAAGAGGTGGAGAGTGTCACAAGCAGCCTGGAGATGCCACAGGGGATGCTCAACTTTTGTTTCCCAAAGCAAGAACCAGGGGCATCCTGTGCAAGGAGCAGCAAGCAGAGGAAGAGCAAAGCAACGTGATGTCTCATTCAGTGCATGGGCAATCCTGGGCAGCCCCCACCACATACATAGTGCTGAGAATGCTAAAATCTTACCTAAATTCAGGGAAACCAGAGAAGTTCAGAGATTAAAAACTATCAACCACTACCAGTGCAGTGGCATGCTGCAAAGGGAATGCCTGGGCTGTCCCCAGCAGAGGGGAGAGCGTGTGCTGGGGACCCTGCACTGCACAGAGTGGAGAGGCTGTGCTGGGGATCCTGCACTGCATAGCCCTGCCCCAGCCATGCACCTTCATTGCAGTGAGCTGCAGCCCTGAAGCAGCAAACACTGATCTCCCTGGTGCAGATCCCCCTGCTCTGCCCCATCTCCATGTGATCTCTGGCTGCTCTTGCTCAGCAAGCAGCAAACCCCAGGGTGTTGCCCCACAGGCTGCTCAGGCACATCGCCTCCAGGACACCCTGCATCCCTCTAAGCTCCTTCCTTCCTGGAGTACACTGTTGGCCCCAACAGGGGCAAATGGGAACAGCTGCTAATTCCTCCCAGCCCAGCCCAGCCCTAACCCTTCAAGGACTGGCCCTTAAGTGGTGGATGGAGCTGAGTCTTGCCTGAGAGCCAGCTGCACCAGCCTGGCCCCAGGAACACGCATGCTGTGTTTTCATTGCAAATTACAAATCGATCATAGCAGCAAATTCCCGTGCTGAGAATACCCTTGGCTGTTATTATTTTACAGCACTCTGAAGCACTTAGAGGTGTTCTAGGCACTTAGAAAGATATGGCCCTTTCGGGGTATTATGGGGCAAATTAGTTTTAAAATCAGCCGTAGGAATGTTGGCCATTTGGCTTCCAGAGCCGGATGGGCACAGGTGGAGGCTGCAGGGCTTTGTGCTGCTTTTGGATACAGCACCGCCCTGCAAAGAGGGACCCAGCACTCTCCGGAGCCAACACCTCGTGCCTGACCCCAGCTTTATTAATAACCAGTAATTAATATGAGAGCGGACGTGCCTTGTGTCTCTGAAGACCTTTTAAGATGTGATTATGTTGTGCTAATCTCACCCCGAAGTACTTCCCTGTTTAGACTGCGCTGGGCCATTAAATATCTGAAAAGCCAGCAGAGACCCCCCCTCATCACCTCGGGAAGTGCTCGGGGTCTGTTCCCCAGCAGTCAGGCCCCGCTTTCAAACCCTCTAAATCAAGTATTAAGCTGAGTCCATCTGGATTGCCAGAAAAAACACTCCCTCCCCCTCATCTGTATCTCATTACCTGCTGTGCCAGCCCCGGCCCCGGAGCCGCTCGCTCCATCCCGCCCAGATGTGCTGCCCCGCTCGCCTCCCGTATTTCACAGCCGTCAGCAGCACTTCAAGGAGCAGCTGAAGGGCCTGTAACACTGCACAGGTTCTTAGCAAGGATGTATATCCAGGTCCCTAATGCATAGCTGCAGGCATGCACTCCAGCACAAAGCCCCTTCCCCCTCGCTGGCCTTGCAGGGGAACTGGGGTGCTCAGGGCTCACTGGCCAGGAGGTTTCTGAGCTGCTTTCCCCACTTTTCCTTGTGAAGCACACATCCAGACTATTGCTTTTCAGGGACTCTTTCCCTGGGACACCTCCAAGCCAAGTAGCCCCCATGCCACACAATTGGGAAAGGCCACCCAAAGGCAGGACAAGATGGAGCAGGTGCCAGCAGCAATGGCAAGGAGTTGAAGACAGACACCTGCAACCCGATAGAAACTGTGATCAAATTTGGGAGCAGATTACCTTGCACAGGGCAAAATCAATGCTGAACCTAGAGCAAAAAAAAAGGTACCCAGTGACCCAAATCAAGGGAACAACCCCTGTGTTCATCAGCTCAAATTCTCCTGGAATAAAGCTTCCCAGGAAAGGTTTCAACACTTTCTGTGATGGCAGAAACCACAGAGGAACAGCCACTTTTGTTTAAGTTTGGCACTTCCCTAGGCCTGGCAGGAGCCCAGGACTGCAGAGGTGAAGGCTCTCACCAACCCTTCCTGCCAAGTTTCCCAAGAGAGCTGTTCCCATCCTGCAGCCAGGGCTCAGCACCAGGTGAGGTTATGGTAAAGAAGCACATGCCAGCCATGCTGAAACATCAGTCTTCCAGAGGGGCTGGGCAGGCAGCACCACAAAGGGATTTTGGAGGACATGAGATTTAAGAGTGGGAAGAAAAGCTAATCTATTGTCTCACAGTGCCACTGCCTGTGGAGGGTCAGCCCTGCTCCTACCTCAGCACTGACTGGGGGCCCCACACTCCAGCAAGCAACAGGTCAGGGCAAGAAAAACCCCAGGATGAAAACAGTCTTCTCACCAGCCCATCAGACATGGAGAGGAAGCTTTAATATCAGGGAGGAGGAAAGGGAGAGGGAGAGGGGAAGAGATCTGTGTGTGACGGTGGTACTGACACATCCTGTAACGTGGCACAGGGAACAAGACGCGGTGTGGGGCAGGAAGCCTTGTGATATCTTCCTCCAAGGACTGCAAGCACCTTCCGGGGATAGGAGGAATCCGGGTGGGGGCTCCTGACCCTCCATGGCTCCTGACCGACCGCGGGGTCCCGGCGGCGGGTGCGGAGGCTCCGGCGTTCCGGTGGCCGCGGGCAGGTGGTGGCAGCCACTGCCTGTGTCGGGATGCCATCTAGTGTCGGGATGCCATCTAGTGTCCCTCGGCAGAAGGGCCGCCAGGCAGGGACACCGAGATTGGGCCTGCAGGCTCCCGGCATCGCCAGGAGTCATCCCGAAACAGCCTGACTGCTGAGGACCCCCTGCGCTGGGATCGGCCTGGGATCCCCATCCCAGGGACAGCGCACCCTGCGGCCAGCACGGCTGCAAACCCACAGGAGGACAGCTGGCACTACCCGGGTCATACAGGGCAGCAAAGCTCAAGGTGGCACCGGGGCTGGCTCGGGGGTCCCCGGAGCAGCCAGAGCCTGAAGGCTCAGCAGCCTCACGGGTGGCCCGGGGTGGTGGCGGGTGTCCTGGTGAAGAAGGAAGGCGACCACTCCCCCCAGCAGTGTGCAGACAGCCTGCAGTGCCAGCATGGCCAGCCCCAAGGCCAGGGACACCTGGCACTGCCATGGGCTGGTCCACAGGGACAAGCCCCAGGCACGATGACTGCTGGGGGTCAGGAGTGGGGAGGCTGGAGAGGGGCTGGTGCTGTCTGATAGTGCGGGGATGGGAGGTGTTGGGAGCAGGACGGTGCCTGCCAGGGCAGGAGCCTGCTGGGCAGCAGTGGGGGCGGGCTGGGCACCAGCTGTGGATGAGTCACAGGTGGTGGAATAGCCCCATTCCCTGCCTGGTGCAGGAGCATGGTGTGATGGTGAACGTGAGGCCAGCGGGACTGTGCCCGGAGCAGCAGTCCTGGAGAATGGCCAGAGGGCCATGGAGGGAGCTGAGACAAGGGGGGTTGTGGGTGTTCCCTGTGGGATGGTGGCTGGCCTCTCCCTGGGCACTGAGAGAGCAGGAGGCTCCGCTCTGGTGGTGCCTGCCAGTGAGCTTGTTGGCACCCGTGAGGTGGGAGAAGCTGGAGTGGGTGGTACAGGTTCTGGGTGGGTGGCCCCAGGAGTCTGCAGCCTTACGATGGCTGAAGTTGAAACAGCTGATGATGGGGTGGTGATGGAAGCCTTGGGCATCTCAGCTGATGATGATGGTGTGGCAGTGGAGGCCTTTGGCAGCACAGTGGGTGATGAGGTGGTGATGAAGGCTTTTGGTGACGGTGTCGTGATGAAGGACCTGGGCACAGTGGTTGTTGATGGCGTGGTGATGTAGGTCTCTGGCAGCACAGCTGGTGATGGGGTGGTGATGGAGGACTCTGTCACACTGGCTGTTGATGGTGTGGTGATGAAGGACCTGGGCACAGTGGTTGTTGATGGCGTGGTGATGTAGGTCTTGAGCTTATTGGTTGTTGATGGGCTGGTGCTGAAGGCCTTCTGCAGCACAGCTGGTGTTGGGATGGTGACAAAGACCTCAGATGGCTTGGCTGGGGACAGAGCAGTGAAGGCAGCCTCCATGGGCACGGTTGGCAACACAGCAGGGGTGACCACAGGTGGAAGAGTGGTTGGCAGTGTCCTGATGGGAAAGGATGCCAGTGACAGCATGGTTGGTGCTGCTGTGGACACGGCTCCACGTGACAGGAATGTTGATGTTCTTTGTGATGGTGTGGAGTTAAATGGCAGAGTACCTGGGCAAATCAGGTGTTCATCCCTCAGCAATGTTACTTCTTGCCCTGCCAGGTGGGGTGGGCTCTTGCAGGAGACTTGGGTGGACAATTTGACCTTCTCCCTGTTGCCCAGGATCCAGCGGTGCAGGTAGCAGAGGTTGCAGTCACATCTCCACGGGTTACCGCTCAGATACACTGAGCTGAGCTTCTTCAGAGGATCTAGGAGCCCTTGAGGAACACTCTCCAGCTGGTTCTTTCGAAGATTGAGGGTTTTCAGATTTGGGAGAGAAGCAAAGACCTCTTCATCCAGAGCAGAGAGCTGATTTGTGTCCAGCTGGAGGTCCAAGAGCTTGCTGAGCCCAGTGAAGACCCCTCTTGGCAGGGCTGATAGCTGGTTGTGGGACAAGATGAGTTTGCCAAGGGATGTGAGGTTGACAAAGATGCCCTCTGGAAGTGTGGCCAAACTGTTCCTGCCCAGATCCAGCTCCCTCAAGTGTGGCATGGTGTCAAAAAGGCAGCAGGGGAGCTCCATAATATGGTTTGAGCCCAGAGTCAGCAAATTTAGTTTGTTTAAACCAAAAAAGCCCTGAGGTGGGAGAACCCTGATGAGGTTGTTGTCCAAGAGGAGTTTCTCCAGGTGAGGCAGGCTCCTCAGAAGCATGGGTGGCAGTGCCCTGAGCCTGTTCCTCTGGAGGCTGAGCTCCAGCAGCTCCAGCTGACTGTCTAGCAGTCCCTCTGGGAGGTCCTGCAACTCGTTCTCATACAGCCGGAGGACTTGCAGCTGGGTGAGTTTGCTAAAGGCATTCACAGGAAGAGCTGTGATCCTGTTTCTAGACAGATCCAAAAAAGTTAGATTGACAAGAGAATCAAAAATGCCTTCTGGAAGAGAAGGGATTGCATTGATGTGCAGGGAGAGCTCTCCCAAACTTTCCAGCCCATCAAACAGGCCTTTGGGGATGGATCTGAGCTGGCTGTCTCTCAGTTCCAGCCTCTGTAAACTTGGGAGGTTTTGGAAAGTGCCCACAGGTAGTTTTTCTAATGAGGCACCAGAGATATCCAAGTCCCTCAACTTGTCCAAATTATCAAAGGCTCCAGGTTCAACAGTCTTGATCTTGTTGCCAATGAACAAAATCTTGGTCAGGTTGGGCATGTACCTGAAGGCACCTTTACTTATAGAAGTGATGCTGGTTTGCACAAAGATCATCTCAGAAACAAAGGGCTTTGCAATCTTTGGGATCTCTTTAACATCATTTTTTGTCCCTCTGTAGACCTCCTGATAGTCTTTGGGCATTTCATATGGATCTTCACCCAGGATTTGATCTTGGCATTTATGGGGATTGAAGGACAAGAGGAAAAGGAAAAGGAAAAGGAAATGCTGGCACATTGTTCTGGAAAAAAAAAAGTTTCAAAAATCAGTTATGAAGAGCAATAAATCTCTGTCCACAGCTCATGAACTATGGTATCATACTGTTGTTCAGCTCTCAGGACTCTTCTATTCACATACCATGACTCACTTCATGAGAAAGAGAGACTGGACAAGCAAACACACTGCATTTACACAAGTTCACTGCTGCTGGTACCAAGGGATGGAGAGGGAAGGCAAGCCAGCTTGTGGCTTGCACTGGGAGATGTTGCAGGAGGGACAAGGGCTGGACAGTCTGTTCTCTGGCCCTTCTCACATGTTTGAACTGTAGGCTCAGCCTGCCAGGGTGAAGAAGGCAAAGTGCTGCTGCCCATTAGTGCTGCCCCAGTGGGTCCAGTTAGTCAGCAGGGCAACAGCCCATTCATGCAACAACAGAAGCAGTCAGCCCTGCACTTGCTAATGAGGGATCAGCAGGGCTCCCAGGAGCCAGCCAAGACCACAGGACCTCGTGTGCTTAGAATTTCCACACTGTGCTGGGCAGACTTGCTATTTCATTGCTGCTTCTCTCAGTTCAGGGGGCTGATTAAAAACATGGTTTCTAAGCACCTCTTCTTCAGGATTCTTGCTAATTGTACCATATTTTGGCCTTGGTCATGAAGCTCTGCCAGACAGAAGTAGTTAACCTGAGAACAGCAACCAAGCTTTACAGCAAGGCTCATTAAAACCTTGGAATGTCCACAGATGAACTATTTAACACCTAACATTTGGGGCTCTGACCTTGCAGGTAGGAAGTGAAATCACTGATGCACACCTACTAGTAGAGCCCACTTCTTCCATGGAAACATTTGGAAACACTCAGCTAACACATTAACTGTGTTTAACTGCCATGAGCACCTCACTGGGACCATATTTCCAACTTTTAATTCACAGCCCTGGGTGGGAGCAGGGAAAAGAGGTACAAGTTTCTTCTTGGGTGACCATCAAAGCTGGCCATGCAAAAAAACTTATTCTGGGAGGGTAAATCTTCTATGAAGTTATTTTTTTTAAAGAACATAGAGACATCAGCAAATACAGGAGACTGAAAGCCACTGGGTTTGAAGATAAATGGATGGGAGGTGACACTGGTTGTGCAGGCTGTCGCCCAGGGCTGAAGCCGCTGCTGGTCCCTGCCCATCCTCTCCCCAGGGAGACTCAGGTGGAAGAGCTGGGGCTGTGGCTGTGGCTGTGGAAGTGCCTGCTTCACTTCTGCTGCAGGGGCAATGCAGTGGGTGAAATGTGGAAACATCTGAGGGTATGGGGATGAAAATTGACAGTTTTGAACCACAGCACCCTTTTAAAACATTTACTGTGGTCCCACGCTTGTCCCCCACTCCAGCCAGGCAGAGTCATGGAGAGATGGTCCCAGCTCAAGGCACTGAAGCCTCCCCTGCTCCTTGCTGCAAGGAAACACCAACAGCGCTCCACACCGCCCCTCCCAGCACATTTTAAAGAGCACAAAAGAAGCATTTTGCATCACTTACTTGGCTGAGCACTTGCAAACGAGTTCAGCCACGGGAGCCATGCCATGGAGGAGTGAGGACACCGGATGGGGGTCTCATCACCTGTCCAGCTCTTTATCCACGTCCCAGACACGGGGCTCAGTTTCACGTGAGGTCAGGACACCAGTCTGTGTGGGGAGATAAGGGACGGCCGGGGAGCTGTGCCCCCAGTGCAGGAGGCCACTGCAGAAACCCCTTGGAGGGGACACAGTCACGTACTCCCCAGGCGTTATCTGCTGGCACCACTTGACTCGTCACATCCAGGGAAAGCTGAAGATCTCCAGGCCAGCCTGTTTGCAGCCATGGTCTCTGTGGTGCCGTATCTCCAGCAGGGTAACTCACAGTTTCACAAACACCACCACAACAGACAGCTGTTTCATTCCTCAGCATTTGCCTCATGTAGCTAAAAGTGCAGTTCTGAAGCCGTTTCTTAATGCTTATAAACAGTGAAACATTTTGAGCATCTATGAGCTCGACAGATAGAACACCACCCGGGCTCTGTGCTCAGCCCCACAGCTCCACCTTGCTGACCCCAGTGTTGTGTGCTGCACTCCAGTGCAAGCCAAAGACCCTCCCATGGTGACACCCCGAGCTCCTGGACAGTGCAGGGCATCCTGTGGCATGCTCATTTTGAGGCAAACTGCCAGGATATCCATTGCTTCCCAATGGGTAATTGCACCGATTGCATTTAAACTTCTTCATTTTCATCTGCTCCTGTAAAAGCTCAGGTTCTGCTTGCTGGGTTTCATTGCGCTTTTCTTGGCAAACTTAAAAACAAACTACTGCACATTTTTAACAGCCTTACCCCTTTCCAACGTCAGCGTCGTTTCCACCCCTGTCCCCACCGGGGCTCCCACTGCCGGCTCTGCCCGCGGAGCCCGGTCCCGATGGCCACGAGATGGTGCCGCAGCACCGCCAGGCACGGACAGACAGACACGGGGCCACTCACGGACACTCGCAGGCATGGGCAGACACACACACACACACAGGGACACACTCACACAGACACACACAGACACTTGTGCTCTTACTACACCCATGCTCACCCTCCCAGGGGAGCACACGCCTTACCTGTCACCCCCGGGTGGGCAGCACTGCTGGGACTTTGTGCCTCATCTCCACAGGTCACAGAACCAGATCCCAGGATGGGAGAGGTTGGAAGGGACCAGTGGAAGCCATCTAGTCCAACCTCTCTGCTGAAGTAGGGTTCCCTGGGTACCCATGGCTCTGTTCAGATGGCTTTTTAGTATATTCAGAGAAGGAGACTCTACAACTTCACTGGGTAACCTGTTCCACTCACCCTCACAGCAAAGTTCTTCTTCTCATTTACGTGAAACTTGCCACTTTCCATGCTCAGGCTGCAGGGCTGCAGACCAAGCCCTGACATGGTAGGAGTGGGACCAGCCTGTGATCACCTGGGCTGGAGCTCACCCTGCAGCCAGGCAGCTCATGGCCCTTGCTGGGCAATCAGCAGCCCTCACCCACACCTCCCTTGGACGGCACAAATCCGTGTCCTCAGGTTTTGCCAGGCTGCAGCTGGGTCTCTCTTCCCTCTGCAGTGCCAAGGGGAGGTGGCTGCCGTGGGCAGGCACCAACACACCGTGAGAATGTGCCACCAGAGTGGCCCCTACTCACCCCCAGGCACCTGCACTATGCCCCACCATGCCCAGCTCCTGGCAAGATCCCAGTGTACCACATGGACCTTTGCTGTCTCTCCCAGACACACCGACAGTGGTGGGGAGAACAGAATGACTCCTCTCTCTGCCGTGGGAACTAGGAGCACAGAAATAATAGATAAATTTTAATTATATTTGAAATACACAGGAAACACATAGCTGAGAGGATAAATATCCCCAGGCCAGCTGTTGTGGAGAGCTTGGGGACAGCTGGGGACCATGGCAGCGGTAGCAGAGCGAGACTGTGGAGAGCTGTTTGCTTCCCAGGTTGGTCCAGAGGTTGCCAGAGCAGAAGCAAACATTTGCCCAAGCCTTAGGGCACGGCGGGGGGAGCTGGTGGTGTGACCTCGTTCCCTCCGTGTGCTGTGACAAGGACGCTGACCTGCAGCGTGCCGCAGCGGGAGCGCAGCAGCCAGGCCCGCCGGTAGGCCGGCCCCAGGCCCCGCTCCGGCCCGGGAGGAGGGAGGCGCAGGTTCAGCTGCTGGCACGATGTGGCATTGCAGGCCACGCTTACCGTGCCCTCGGCGTCGCTGTAGGTGCACTGCCCCGGGGCATCTGTGTCCCAGCCCTCCTCCGGGGGGACACCGTGGGCTCCCGGGCACTGCAGCTGCCCGCTGGAGACCTCCAGCAGGGAGCGGCCCTGGAGAGCAGCGGGATTGGCACAGAAGGCTCGGCCGTGGATGAGGGGCTCAGCAAAGCTCTGGAGCCAGTGCAGGAGGTAGGAGAGGTGGCAGTCGCAGAGCCAGGGGTTGCCAGCCAGCCCCACACGCACCAGCTCATCGTTGGCATCGAAGAGCCCCGCAGGCAGGCGGGCCAGGCGGTTGTGGTCCAGCACCAGGGCGGTGAGGAGGGGCAGCCCGGCCAGCAGCCCCACCGGCAGCCTGGAGAGGTTGTTGTGGCTCAGCTGGAGCTCTGTCAGCCCTTCCAGACCCTGGAAAGCCCCGGTGGGCAGGTGATCTATGGCATTGTGTGAGAGCTCCAGGGTTTCCAGCACTGACAGGTTCGCAAAGAGCTCCTGGGGCAGTGTCTCCAGCCGGTTGCGAGCCAGCGAGAGGTGGAGGAGGCCAGGGGTGCCAGCGAACAGCATGGCAGGCACGGTGGCCAGGTTGTTGCCCTCCAGGCTGAGGACAGTGAGGTTGAGGAGACCCGTGAAGATGTCAGGGGCCAGGCTGCCCAGGGCATTGTGCTGCAGCTGCAGCCGCCGCAGTGCCCCCAGCCTGGAGAAGATGCCCGAGGGCAGCTCCTCCAGCCGGTTGCCATCCAGGTGGAGCTCGGTCAGCTGGCCAAGTGCCCTGAAAGCGCCAGGAGGCACCTGTGCCAGCAGGTTGTCACTGAGCTTGAGGACACGAAGGGCGACAAGTGGGGCCAGCAGCCCATCTGGCAGCTCGGACAGAGCATTCTGTGACAGGTCCAGGGCCCGGAGCCGCCGGAGTGGGCGGAAGATGCCAGGGGGCAGTGCCTCGATCCTATTCCCTGCCAAGCTCAGGTCCTGCAGGCGGCAAGAGGCAGTGAAGAGCCCCGGCTGCAGGGTGCGGATGGTGTTGGCACTGAGGGAGAGCTTGCTGAGGCTGGTCAGCCCTGCCAGCAGCCCAGGGCTGACAGCTGGCAAGGGGTTGCCTGACACCTCCAGCTCAGTGAGGCTGGGCAGCCCTTGAAAGGCACCAGCCTGCAGCTCCTGGATGTTGTTATTGATGAAGACCAGCTTGGTGAGCGTGCTGCTGGAGCCCAAATCCCCGCTGCGGATGCTGCTCAGGGCTGTCTCCACGAAAAAGAGGTGGGTGGCACTTCCTGGCAGGCCCTCCGGGATCTCCCGTATCCTTTCGTTTGAGCAGAAGACTTTGGAGGTGTCATAGCACTGGCAGGCAGGGGGGCAGGATGGGGACAGTGCCCCCACCAGCAGGGACCCCAGCCCCAGCAGCACGTAGATCAGCAGCCTGCACTGGAGAAGGAACCAAGCCTTACCCCATGCACCCACAGGCACTGCTGGGAAAGGGCTTCTGCAGCCAGAAATGCAGCAGGATCACCCTCTGAGACACCACCAGCATAGGGAGCTGCCCTGACCATGGGGATCCCTCCAGCCCCTGCTGCCAGCACCTCCCCAGCACTCCCCTCGCAGGAACGGGGAGCACTCCCCTCCCAGCTGTCTCCCCAGGGTTTCTACTGTGCCCCAGCCCACCCTGTGACAGCCAGGGTGATGCCACCCTCACCAGAGGTGGTGAGCAGCCACATCCTGCAGAGCAGCTGCTGAGCTGGGACTTGTGTGGGTCTGTGGAAGTCTTGGGGGAAACCTGTACCCTCATCAGATGTCTCCACAGGCACAAAGCCAGTGGGGGCACAGTGGGTGATGGGGACAGCCCTGCAGGGCTGCTCTGAGCTCAGTGGCAGTAGCTGTGGGCTCCACCACTGGTATTTCTAATTGCCTGTTGGGTACTTCTTTTTCTACAGGGAATCAGAGCAGTGTCAACCTGCTGGAGGGATATTCAGCCTGACCAAATGCCTCTTCCCAGCCCACAGAAGCTCTTTTTGAGGTGGTGGCCGCCACACCTCTGCCAGTCCCTCCCTAGTTGGGATACATGCCAGTGCTGCCTCGTGATGGGGGACATTGCCCACCCCAGAGCAAGGCCCACCTACAGACACCCCGCATCAGTGGAGCTCCCCTGGACTTACACTGGCACTTGAGAGCAGCACTGGCTTTGGAATTTCCTTTCCTCCCTCTTGCTTGTGCTCACAGAGCCAACTGAGGCTCCCACCCATCCCAGGCCCCCAAACTACCCAAGCAGTGTGGGCACCACTTACCAAGCATGGCATCACGGGGTCGGTCACCAAACGTGTGGCAGATGTGCAGAGATGCTGCTGGCTGGGATGGGACATTGTTTTCTGGGGCGGATGGGAAGTCAGGGACAAGCTGTTCCTGCTGGGGCGGAGCTGCCCCTTGCTGCTTATCAGCAACAACAACCCGTGTCCTTGGAGCACTCTGAAAAATAACCCGGCCTCCAGGGCACTGGAGGTGAGGCCAGAGGCAGCTGCCTGTGAGCATCCTGGCAAGGAAGTGGGGTTCTGGCCCTGGACATCCACTGGGGCAGGGATGGTGGTGGCAGGGTGCTGCTGTCACAGGTGGCTCCAGTCCCACACCAAGGTCAGCATACTTGCTTCCAGAAACCTCCTAAGAGAGCCCCAGAATTTTATCAAATCTCACTGGGAAATGGTGCTCAAAATATCTCTGCCATGAGAGAAGAGACCAGGTGCAGCTGAGCAAGGCAGATGAAGGCTGTACATGAGGTTAGAGGTCTTTTCCAACCTTATGATTCTCTGGGGAGGGGACCACTGTGGGACCATCATGGGATTTTGCATCCCAGCCAGCAGTGGGATGGCGAGGGAGCCATGGATCAGATGAACTCCCTAAGAGTTTCAGCCTGCCCAGAGGAGCAGCCCACACTACCATAAAAGCTGCATTGCAAGGGCCTGTGTTGGCACAGGCTGGGCTGGCAGCAGCCATGGAGACACCCCCAGGGGCAGGAGGAGGGATATTTCACTGCAGTCAGTCTCATGGAGCAGATGGTGACACATGGAAAAACACAGCTGACACAATGCAGTGGCAGCCAGCTCTGAAGGGAGCCAAGCAAGCTCCCACCACCCCAGCAGTGGACTGTGCAGGAGACAGTCTGTGTCTCCATAGAGAAGCTTGCTGAGGTCCCAGCTTACTCACCAAAAGCCCACCCACTGCTGTTGTATGGCTTAGCCCTCCTTGGTCCATCATGCCAGCTTGGAGTCCAGGAACCAGCAAGGGCTCTGCAAACTTAGCCCACAACCCTTTCCCAGCCTCACCAACTCGTACAGGCTTTTCCTCAACACTGTAAAAATCTCTGAGGAGTGGAAACCAAGTGCAGCCCCTGTCCCTGCTGGGCCATTCCCCTGCTGCCCACCATAAAGGAGTGAATAAACAGCTCTTGGCACTTGGAGTGGACAGTGGCACTTTAATGAGAAGGTCACACATCAGCACCCAACAGCCCCGTGACACAGTCATGAGTCTCCTATTACCATGCAGGACTCAGCCCAGAGGGGTGACCCCTCACATGCACCAGGGTGGAGCTGCTTGTACCAGCACTGGCTGCTGAGGTGCTGTGAGCAGCCAGCACTGCAGGGTGGACACCTTGTCCCACAGCAGCGGTCCTCAGGCAGCGGCGCCACTGCAGCACCCATGGAGGTGAGCTCAATCCCTCATGGTCGTGCTACAGCTGGAGAAGGCAGCTGGGTACAGGGGGGATGGCATGGCACTGGCACCCATTTGCAATCTGCAAAGCAGCCAGCATGCTGTGCTGCCAGCATCCCCCCTGGCCAAGGGCTGCCACCAGGCAGGGACACTGGGCACACACAGGAGGGCACTCAAGGGAGTAAGAAGAGGATGAAGAAGCTTTGTCAAGCAGAGCAGGACCAGGTGGCTCACTAGCTGGTGGAGGGTCTTAAGGAAATGAGGACCAGGAATGGAGTGTAGTGGAAGCAACCCCAACACACTCCAGCAGTCCAGGAGCACAGGAGCTTCTCCCATCCCCTGCAGACGCTTCACACCCATTGTCCCGCTCTACCCTCACAGTGCAAGCCCCTGCACCCTCTGGGGCTGAGGCAGGGCGCTGCAGGCAGGGGCACAGCCACAGCAGGGTCAGCACCAGCGTGCAGTGAGGGCTGGGGGGCTGCTCCTGCTCATCCCTGATGCCAGCACACTGTCCCGTGCCTCTCCTGGCCGGAGGAGCAGGAGGGAAGGAGGCAGGAGCCAGGAGCAGGAGAGGGTGCTGGCTGTGCTCTGGCCTGCCCTGCCTGCAGGCAGGGAGGGCAGCTGGGACGCAGCTGAGGCACTCAGGGTGTGCCAGCCAGCCTGGAGCCCTGCGGGGAGCCCTGCCCAGGCACCGGTGAGTGATGGAGCAGCACAGGTAAAGCAGCTCCCTGGGGCAGAGGTGACCCAGCATGATGGCTCACACTGCCTGCCCAGGCAGGGGCAAGGGGGGAGGCATGGTGGGGACAGAAGGTGGGGAAGAGGGGCTGGGCAGGGGTGAGAGCAGCAGGCAGCATGAGGGCAGCAGCACTGCAGGGAATGAGGCAAGGTGAAGGATGGGGAAGTCCTGTTATTTGGGGTAAAGCACCATCATGGCCAGGCTGTGGCTCCTGGCTCGAGGGGTCCCTCTCTGCATCCCACACCTCAGCTGCTGGACCCAGGCAGGGAACAAGCACAGAGACTGCACTGGAGGCAGGAAGGGCTGGGGACAGTGGGCAGCCATGGGGAAGCCCTGCTGCAGCGCAGGGACAGGGCAAAGCAGAGCAGGACAGTGGTACACACAGCGCACACGGTGATGTTCTCCCATCCCAGTCAGCAGGGGCAGCTGATGCAGAGCCTCTGTCATGTCCTTTGACCCCACAGGCACCTCTGCCCTCAGGGTCTGCCAGATACTCAGGCTTCATTCGGAGCCTTCATCCTCATGAGCACAACGTGGCTCTTCTTCCTACAGCCATAGACCACCAGTGCCACCAGAGCAGCCAGCAGGGCCACACTCACCAGCACGATGACTGCTACCACCACCCCACTCTGCAGGCGTGTCAGCCCCCACTGCCCCCTCTCTTCCTCCTCCTTCTTCTCCTCCTCATCCTCCTGTGGGGAGGCTGGCAGCCCCGTGGGAGGCTCCATCGAGGCATCTTCTGCTGCTGAGGCATCATCTGAGGCTGCCTCAGAGGTGTCAGCAGGGAGCAGGGTGCTGGGATGACGAGGAGCAGCAGTGGGGGGCTGGGGGTCGATGAACTGGTTCTGTGACAGCCCAGCAATGGGGATGCCCTGCAGGGCGGGAGGCTGGGCACACAGTGGGGGTATCTCACCCACCTTGTGAGGGTTCTCCTCCAGCCAGCCCTGCAGGGGCAGGATGCCCTTGTCACAGCGCCAGGAGTTGTTGTGCAGCCTCACCTCTCGCAGGGCAGTCAGCGGGGAGAAGATGCCGGCGGGCAGGTACTCCAGGGCATTGGAGTGCAGCTGCAGGTGCTGCAGCCCAGGGGTGGCCCTGAAGAGGCCCCGTGGCAGTGCCTGCAGCTGGTTGTGGTGCAGAGAGATGTTCTGCAGCTTGGGCATCCCCTCCAGCGCCCGGGCATCCAGGCGGCGCAGGGCATTGGAGTGCAGCGACAGCTCCAGCAGCTCCCCCAAGCCCTGGAAAGCCCCCGGTGGCACCGACCGCAGCCGGTTCTTGCTGAGAACCAAGAGCTGCAGCTGGGTCAGGTTGCTGAAGACGGCAGTGGGGAGGGTGGAAAGCTCATTCTCATAAAGCCAGAGCTCCTTCAGGTTGGGCGTGGGCCCAAAGGCACTGGGGGAGATGTCCCGCAGGTGGTTGACATGCAGGGTGATCTTGGCGAGAGCGTGCAGGGGCAAGAAGATGCCGCTCGGCAGAGTGGTGAGGAAGTTGTTGGACAGGTAGAGCTTCTGCAGGTTGGTGTTGTGCACAAAGAGCTCCGGGGACAGCGTCTCCAGCTGGTTCTGGTGCAGCCCCAGCTCCTGCAGCTCCGGCAGCCCATCGAAGGTGCCCACTGAGATGTGCCGGAGCCGGTTCTCGTAGAGCCGCAGCACCTGCAGCCGCGCCAGCCGCTCGAAGGCCCGGGGCGGCAGGCGGTCGATGTTGTTCCTGGCCAGGTTGAGCTTGGTGAGGCTGGTGAGCTGGTCAAACACCCCCTCCTGCAGCTCCTTCAGGTTGTTCCCGTGCAGCTGCAGCTCCTTGAGGTTGCTCAGATGGGTGAAGTGGGAAGGCTCGACCTGGAGGATCTGGTTGCTGGAGAGGAGCAGAGACTCCAGCTTGTCCAGAGGCTCAAAGACCTGCACAGGGAGCTCCTGCAGCTTGTTGCTGGCCAGGCTGAGGTAGCGCAGGTCGGGCAGGTTCTGGAAGGCCCTGGGGCTGATGCGAGACAGGAGGTTCTTCTCCACGCGCAGCCCGATCAGCAGGGAGGCGTTGCCGAAGGCGGCGTCGCCCAGCTCGGCGATGCGCGTGTTGATGATCTGCAGGGTCATGGCGTTGGCAGGGATGGGGCTGGGCACCGTGCTGATGTCGGCACCAAAGCACTCCACCTGGGCACTGCGGACACACTGGCACTGCTCTGGGCACTGGCTGCTGGCCAGCTGGATGCCCACCAGCAGCAGCAGCCACCGCTGCCAGCCTCCCTGCTCCATTGGGCCTGCAGAAAAAACAAAGGAGGGGAGTTCAACTCTGGGGGTTCCCAGCTCCCAGAGTCACTGCAAGGGATGGGTGCTGCTTTCCCCCTGGAAAAAGCCACCGAGGCTGTGGCCATCCTGCTCCCAGCATGGCAATGAGGCAGAAAAAGGCAGACAAGGAAGGCTTGGGGCAGGCAAGGCTTGACTCAGCCCAGGCAGGAGCTCAGAGCAATACAGAGCTGAAGGCCACAGTGCCTGGCTGCCATACCACAGCTATTAGTGGCATCCCTGGCGTCCCAGCTCTCTGGGCTCTTCTGGCAGCCAGGAGTGTGGTTTCCTGTTTTACAGAGTGTGGCAAGCTGCTGCCAGCAGCACTGGCCTCCCAGCACCACCAAAGAGCCCAGACCTCCACCAGAGCTGGCTCATGGCACCTGCAGCAGGTCCCAGCTTTGCCACAGCGCCCCCAGCACCCTCTGAACTCCTGCTGCAAATCCAAGAGCAGTGCCTAGAGATGCTTTAGCCCCAGTCCTGCAGGAGCCTGGGTCAACAGGACCCAGCACAGGCTGGGTACAGGCAGGCCCTGTTCCCCCATCCCTAGCAGGAGGTCTCAGCCTGGCCTGTTTTTGCCATGAGTGGGGTGTCTGATGTGGGCACGTGCCTGCAGGCTGGTCCCAGGGGTGGTGCCCAGCAAAGCTCTCCATTACCCCTGAGCACAGACACCATGGACACCTTCTCCTCTCTTCTCTGGCCTGTGACCTTTCTCCCTCCCTAGATTGAAGCAGCAGCCTTGTGCCAGGCTGGCATGGAGCAGCCCCCCATTAACAACTTCATGTGGCACAAGGGAGGGAGAAAGCCTGCAGCTCCTGCTCTGAGCACAGCTCAGCCAGACAGGCAACTCAGGCAGCACAGGGGTCTGGCCACAGTGCCCCAGGGGCATCCACGGTACTGGGGCACAGCCCCTGCCCTCCTCCCTGCCCTCCCCACAGGGAACACTGTTCCTCTCAGGCAGGGAGGGAGGAGCCCTCCACAAGCCAGCATGGTTTATGTTTCCCATATGGAAACAATCTGCATCCAAGAACAGCTATGTTTATAGCAAGACATTTATAAACTTCCCCAAAAGCTCGGCACATCAAAAGCTCTGCTCATGTCACTCCCTGGTAAGGCAGCACTGAGAGCACACACACTGGAGCAACCTTCAGGAAAAGCAGCTGGAAACAATTGATATCTCTTTTTCTTCTAGGGATAAAAAACTTACAGACCAAGAGGCTGAACATTCTCTGCTGCTCAGCCCCTCAGCATCCCACTGCTCCTAACATCAGCCCCCCCAAAATATTACTTTGCCCCCTTGAATTCTCTCTCTTGATCATTGTCTGGGATACATTGCCTACATAACTCTTACAGCTCCCATAGCATCTAAGTGGTCTCACTTTTTCGAAGATCCCTTGCAAGATAAACATCTCCATCAAATGAAAAGATGCTGAACATGCAGATCCCACCACTCCACCACCACCCCTCAGAGCTGCCCTGGCAGTCCCTGGAGTCCGTGTCCACTCAGAGGGGCAGCAGGAGAAGGAGACTTACCCGAGTGTCCTGCAGCCACGAGCAGCGAGCGAGCACAGCTCCGTGCTGGCAGGAGAGCAGAGTGTGGTTCATTCTTCCCCTCCCAGTATAAAACCCGTCCAAATCAATGAATCAGCACAGGGGCAGTGGCGGGGTTAGGGAAAGCACTGGAGCAGAGCTGCTTCCAACTCCTATTTCCTCAGCAGAGCAAGCATTTCAAGGATCACTTTTGGGTTTCCCCCTCCTGAACCCCATGCTCTTGTAAGAAGACAAGCAGAGGGCTCCGTGAACATGCTGCTCATGTCAGCCAGTGCCCAGGCAGTGGCTTGGCCCTCAGAGTCCCCCTGGTCCCCAGTGGGACACAGCCACTGACCCATGGGGGCAGACAAGCAAAGCCAGACCCCTGGGCACAACCCTGTCCTTCCCTGGCACAAGTCCACACCAGGGCTGCTCCATGGCACTTCCTTGGCACAGGCACAGCCCTTGTTTCCCCATCTATGGCTCCTGTGTCAGGACCTCGGACTGTGCCCCAGCCCAGGGCCACCAGTGCAGGCAGACCCCTGGCACACGGACCCTGCCCAGGTCACAGCTCTCATTGCCCCCACAGCCACAGATGCCAAGGGGCCACAAACCCATGAGCACCCACTGCGGGCTCTGTCCTGTGGGCACCACAACCAGCACTGCCAGGAAGTGAGAACTGTGACAGGGTCAGCAGCTGTGTGGGTGCCAGCCATGGGCCAGGCTGCTTCAGAGGGCCCTCAGAAAGCCAGAGCATTGCCCACAAGCCATGAGGAACACCTTGGCACTGAGAAACCCCCACTGCACCCCTGCTCTGCCCCCTCAGCAGTCCTGACACACAGGTGATGGAGCCTGGTACCCAGGGGTGTTTGGAAAGCATCCATTGACTTGTTCAGGGGCACCTGCTGCCAGCCCTCCCCTGCCCCTCTAGAGCACAGGGGTGCACTGGGGAGCCCTTGGGTCCCATCACCCAGCCCAGGTCTCCCCACCTCGCCCACCTCCTCCGGGCAGTCCTGGTCCAGCCGCTGCCGGGAACGGATATTCGGGAGGAAGGAGGTGAGGAGAGTCAGTGCACGTGGGTGGCCCCTTTGGGCTTCCTGGAGAGACACTGCAGTCCCTTGCTAAGCACAGGGCAGCTGGAACTTCCCTGCCTGCCTCTGATCCGCTCTCACCCCACCCCACCCGTGCCTCCGCCGTTGCAGCAGCCTCTGCTCAGGTTCCGGTGGCACCGAGGAGCTGCTCAGGACGGGAACAGCTGGGGCTGCTGCCGGGGAAGGGAGGAAATGTGTCATGCTGTGAGGGCTGGGAGCCTGCAGGGCCGTGGAGGGGACAGAGAGGGGACCAGGCCAGGACAAACAGCAAACTGCAGGGATGGAGAGCAGAGCTCCCAGACAGTCTCAAGGGAAGGAGACAGGGACCGTGGGAACATGGCAGGGAGTGGGACCTCAGCTGGAGGACACGGCCACCATGATGTCACATCACATGAGAGGCCATCTGCCATAGCACATGCTGGATGGCCACAGACCCCTCTGGCTGGAAAGTGGGTGAAACTACCCCTGGCCATGTTCCTACCTGCTCTGGGGCAACACCCAGGCATTTGGGCACAGAGAATGGGCATTTTGAAAACACCATCCACCAAGTGCTCTAGTCCACACTCTAGTGACACAGCAGTTTCCCAGAACCACACTTCCCAAAACAATCTCCCCACTTCTGTGACAGCACTGCAGCTGGAGGTCAGGCACAGGGCTTGGGAGCTGCCTGCTCCCTGCAGCCCTGACACAAGAGCTGGGCTCTCAAAGCCTTATCACAGCCTTATCAAGGCTCTGTCTGCCCACTGCCAGTGCTGCTGGGCTTCTGCCCACTCTGACTCATCCAGAAGCTCACAGCTTTTCAGCCAGGCAACACAGAAACCAAACCTCAGCACTTCCAATAAACCACTGCCCCAAGCCCAGCTCATCCCAGGAATGTTGGAGTCACCTCCTTCCAAGCAGTGCTGCCCCAGGGCAGACAGGAATGCAGTGATGGGGACCTCAAACACAGTGCCCCAACTCGGGGGTCATCAGATTATGGTCCCTACCACCATGCAAAGTTTCAGAGCAGTGCAGGTAACAGCCCTGACAAAAACCTGCCTGCCTCTACCCAGGCCTCAGGAAACTGCCTCTGGCTTCCAGCCGGAAAAGAGGATTGTTTTCAAGACATGGCTAAAAATAAAGCAGGGCTGAGTAACAAATGGCACACGCCCGTGCGCCACTTCTGCAGCCACTCCCAGAGGTGAGCACATGGGGGGTTGCCCCAGGCTACTTACAAGGGAGAGGAACAGAGGGTGTGACAGCTTGGGACAGCAGCATGGACTCATCCCACACATTTGGAGGGGAGAGGCAGCTCCTGAGAGAGCAAACGGATATGATTGAGGGTGAGATGAGCATTTTGCAGGGAGAGGCTGTTCCACATAGCCAGGAACTCACACGGTGCTGGATGGCGTGGGTCTCATGCTGCAGGAAAGCCCCAGGTTCAGCATTGCCTGGGGGACCTTTCCCACCTCCAGCTGCACCAGCCAGAGGCTGCAGCCCCTCTGACCAAGCCCTGGACAGTGTGGAATCACTGTTGTATCCCTGCACCTTCAAAGAGACAGTGGAGCCCCAGAACAGCACTGTCACTTATTGCTGGAGCTGCCTGCCTTGCTACAGGACAGCACGACAGTCCCGTGTCTGTCTGTCCATGCTGGCACATCTCCAGCACATCCCCACGGCCAGGGTGGCGGATGCAGCAAAGCTGAGTGGCTCTGAATCACCAAGGGACTCAAGACTGCTTGGAAAAACTCATGTAATCTCTAAAATTAGCAGCTTGTGGGCTTGGCTGGGAGAGCACATTGTTCATCTGCCAAGCAGCTGAGCGTGCTCACCCACGCCATGCAGACGCAGCTCCCCCCCCAGCCCCTGCTCCTGCACACCTCCACTCCTGCCTGAACGGGCGCCCTGGGCAGGGTGAGCCCTCCCCATGGCCGGCAGGGCAGTGCTGGGACCCCCCAGTCACTCTGTGCTGCTGCAAAGTGCCCACCCTGCTGTGAACCCCCACCCTGGTGGCCCCCAGTGCACGCAGCTGGTCCCAGGCACCAGGCCAAACTCTGCTGAAGGGGAGGAGGAGGGCGGAGGGCTGGGCTGGGGCCACAGAGGGAGTGCTCCCCGTGTTCCAGCACAGGGGGACACCGCTGGGCCCGAGCCCTGCAGCAGGGTCCCCAGGCTCACACCACAGCTGAGGGGTGAAGGAAGGGACATCAGTCCCTCAGGGACTGGTGCTGGGGACACCTCCACCCTTGGAGAAGCACCAGCAGCTCCTGCCTCACCACGGGCCCACCCTAATCCTTTGAGGAGCCCAAATGAGAGAGCTCCTCCATAGGACCAGTGATCCAGCCCTAGTGACATTTTCCCACCCTGCTTGTGGAATGCAGGGCCAGGGCTGCCTCACTGCTCATGCCATCATCTGCCCCAAGGGACAGGGACATGCCTGCCTTCCCTGGGAAAGTGCTTATGCAAAGAGAGAAGGATCTCTGGGAAGGAGCAGCAGCAGCTTTGCTTAGCAGGGACGGCCATCAGGCTGACCTCCATCCCAGCACCAGCCCCAGGCCCACCACAACCCTCCTGGAGCTCCAGGAAAATGGCATTTAGGATCTCGGGCTCCAGTGGGGTTGGCCCCAGCAGCAGAACCGTCTCCTCCAGGCTCGGCCCCGGCCCGAGCGATAGCAGCAGCAGCAGCAGCAGCAGCGGGGCTTGGCCCCGGCTCGGGGCAGCGCTAGGCTGGAAGGAATGCGGGGCCGCGGCCAGCTCCGCCCGCAGGGATAATCCGGAGCGGAAAGAGCTTGTCCTGGGAGAGGGGGGAAGGACCAGCTGGAGCGGGAGGCGATGGCAGGGGCTCACACTCTGAGAAATGTTCCCTGGATCAGCTCCATCTCTGTAAAGCTACCTCTGGCACCACGAAGTGGCCCAGGGACCTCTCCCCAGCACACGAAGGGGGAAGGGGGCCTCGCTTGTTCGCAGGAGAAGCCAGCAGAAGAGTGAACAGCAGACTGCAGAGCTGCTGCCAGCCATTGCTGGCTCTCTGCCCCGAGCTCTTCCATGCAGAAAGACACAAAGGCACAGCTGGAAGTCTGGCATGCCAGTCCTACAGCAGCAATTGCTGAGCCCAGTGGTGGATGGGTCTGGGTGCTGCTGGAACAGAAGCTCCCACCCTGTAGTGAACTGGGACTCACCGCCCTTGGCCCAAGTAAGAGACTATACCAGGACTTATCCACCCACAAGTGAGTATAAACCCAGATTTTGGTTAAAAAAATGGAGTCATAACACCTCCCTAGTTTGCCACTCCCTAGCTGGGACAAAGCAGGAGCTTCAGGCCTTCTGCTCACCGTGAGTCTGTAAATTCTCATGGCCTTGTCCATTGGGAACGTGCCTTGGGCTGCGTCTCCTCCCAGCTCTTCTGACATCCCTAGGAAATGCTCTGATATCAGGGCTGCCAAATCAGCAGCCCTAGGCCAGCCCTGCTGGTTGGAGGCCTAGAGGAGACACAGCCAATGCTCCATAATGTCAGGCAGAGGCTCCCAGGGCTCCTGCCTCACAGCCAGCAGCTGCATCCTCCTGAGCCACTGCTGGGGCCTGCTCCAAGCACATCTGCCATCACCCTACTTCTCTTTGACATCAGGACAGGGAAGATCTGAGGTGCAGGCTCTGATCTTGCTGCTGTGCCCTGGAGGACTGAACTGCATTCACAGGCAGCTGCCCAAGCTCACTGCCCTCTGCAAGCAGTGACAAGGGCCCTGCTGCAGTTCCTGGTCTCAGGAGGCAGAGGCGTGGGATGGAAAGGACCAGGACACCAGGGACACCAGGAAAGAATGTGTGTGCTGGTGGCTTGGAAATGCTTGCTGCAGTGGCTGTGAAACAGGCAGAACTGCCAGGGTTTGTGGCAGCAGTTCATTCAATTCCCCCTTCAGCAACCTGTGCTTTGGGGACTCTCTGGATTCAACTCCCAACAAGCAAAGGAGAATGACATTTGTAGTGACATCAAGCTGGAAACACAATGAATAGTCCCATGGCTTGGCACAGGGTAGGTCGGAGCTCCCACTGCTCCAGGATTTCCTCAACAGAGAGAGCAGGAGCAACTGCTACAGCAGCAAGCATCTGAAGGGACAGAGCAAGCTATGACTGGGCTGGCACAGCTGGCCTGCTGGGGAGCTACCCAGGCACTCCCAGCCAGGATGTGGTCCTGGAAGCAGGTCCTTGACCTGGAGGTCTGGATAATGTGCAGGGCTGTTAAACATGACTCTGCACCCCCATCAGGAGCCAAGAGAGCAGAACCAACCCCTTCAGCCACTGTATGCAGATGTGCTTTGCATTCACCTCTTCCCCAATATCAGGACCCGCTGGATCAGGGATTAGGTACCTCCAGATTCTTACCTCCAGCCTACTGTGTTCCCTTCCAGCCTGGTGGCAAAGGCTGGGCAGTAGATGATGCAAGTGTGGGCTGCAGGGACTGAGAAAATCCTTGCACACAAGGGAACAGTGCTTTGAGGGACCAGCCTGCTGCCTTTCCTCTGGCCACAGCTGCATCATGCTGACCTGAACAACTCTCCCTTCTCCAGGAAAAAACAGAAATGGGGTATGCACAAGGATATCCTTGGATTTGTCAGGCCAGGGAATTTTTCAGGAAGGGCTGAGCTCCGCTGAGAAAGAAACAATGAATCATAGGCAGCTCAAAACAGTACACCTCAGAGGAAAGTTAGTAAACCACCCCAGGCACTCATTGCTCCAGCCTTTTGTTGTCTGATGACTTCACTTCCCCCGTCTGGCTCCTCGAGCGTGGGGAAAGCCCGATGACAGCATGTGAAGAGGAATCATCCTGGAAGAGGAATCATCCTTTTGTTGTACATTGCCTGTACTCAGCTCTGTGCCAGAGCCCCCACGTGCCAGAGCTGGAGCTCAGCGACTGCAGCAGGAGCCAAGGAGCAGCGTGGGGGCCCAGCTGGCTGCACTGCAGGGCCAGGGCAGCCAGAGAGGGCTCACAGAGGCGCAGCTGGTGCTGCCCTGCTGCCCTCGGGGTGGGCAGCAAGGTGTCATACCCATAGCATGGGCAAACAGGGGCTTTTCCTCACAAATCAGACACTGTGCATCCAAGCACCCGGAGCACACTTCCTTCACTGAGGTAACAACCCCCAGCATGGTTTGTAGAAGTCAAAGACAGAATTTTCTCACTAGCCCTGATTCTCCTGACCTGCCTGCTGTGAGCAGCTGCCTGCGTGGCACCGTGTGACAGCGCTGGAGCTGGCACAGCACCAAGGGGTTATTACAGCTGTCCAACCAAGAAACTAAATTTGCAACAACTCTCTCTTCTTAAATACTACATGCAACCACCCAGAACCACCACTGAGAAAGCTCACTGTTGGTTTTGTGCTTCTCTCAATTATATTGCAGGAAATATTCTAGAGCATCTGTTTATGATTCCAGTCACAGCTTGCTTTGCACCACTTGCAGTGACTTGCGTTTCTGCTTCTTTAGAGATAGCTCTAACTCCCATTTAGCCAGGTTTGCTAAATTTTGTTAGACCTCACTAACAAGACAATGATCATTTAAAACTATAGAAGCACATTCTCTCTTTTCAAAGAGGAATTTAGGCCCAGCAGCAGAGCACCCTGAAACAGTCACAGTTTATTCTCACTGCAGGGAACCAACCATAACCAACCTGCAGGAAATGCAAGTTTTCTTCACCTCAAGTCTGTTATGCATTTAAAGGCCATCCAGGAAAGTCCCTAATATTGAGAAAATCACTAAGGTTACAAAATGACTCCTAGAGTAGAGGCTCTCTGGCCCAAGAAGCCAGGGATTCACACCCAGAGGTTTTTAAGCACATCAGAGCTTTTAAGAGCAAACTAAGTCCCATAATGTAGATAAAAGCTGATAGTTAAATCCAAGAGCTACTAAAGCACAGGCAGTCTGACAGCCACCAGTCTACCTATGAACTAAAATATTCATACAATTCAAAATATTAATAAAATGTTAGTATAAAGACCAAAACCCACACTATTGCCTAGTAGTTGCCTTTGTACATCAACACGTGAAAGGACAGGAAGTCATGGAATAGCAGGATGTAATAAGGTAAAAAATAGTGAGACTGAAAATGTGACTGGACACGCCAAGTTGAAGTTGTATATGTTCCCCAGCCAACTTTGAAATGGAGGTGACACTTTGTGGCCCTCAGTTCAGGCAGGCTCCCTGCCCCTCAGCTGCATGCTGCTGTTTTGCTAGCCAAGCCCAGGAGAGACCATTTTTTTCTCTCCCAGCTCAGTCAAGATCAGCTCTCAAACCAATTCGTGCCTGTGGAGCCCCTCCTCAGTCCTGGGCATCCTCCTGGTACTCTGGTTTCAAGATTCCCTGCATCATGCAGCCAGGAACACCTTGTTTTTTCAGACCACTGGCCAAAGTTTAAGGATGAAAGTGTTTACTTAAAATTCAGAGTTGTAGGAACTTTACAAAGTTTTCAGAAAACCTCCAATCAAACAATAAAATACATCATGATTATACTTCCTAGCTCAGCATCTTCCCTTGCTGTTAGCTTTAATTGGTACCCCTTCCTCATGCCACGTCCTGGAAAGGGGCTGAGGACAGAAAGCAGAAGTTAAGACACTTGCACCACACCATTCTGCACACATCCCCATTGTTTAAAGGTCCTTCCCAGCATCTCCTCCCAAAACCACCATTTTTTTCTCAGTAAGGAGACAAAAGACTGCAGGCAGTAGAGGAAATAATATTATTGGAGTTCTTTGGGCGATCTCTAAAGCACAGCTGAAGCCATGTTCCTATGTGAGAGTTCCTCCATTGATGGCACTCCATCTGAGCAGTGAACACTCAGCAGGCAGCAGCCTCTGGCAGAGGACAGGGCAGCACTCCAAGGCAGGAAACCCACAGCACATGTGTGGAGGTGACCACAGTACTTCCATCTTGCCCTCTGGGTTCATGCACTAAGTGCTGTAGCAATTTACAGTGATTACAGCCACTCTTGGGAAATGCTGCAAGGTGCATAAAACTAATTTCCATTATGTTATAAAGACAAGGTCCTTATGGTCTTTGCTATGAAGACCTGTAATCCATATCTTAATTGAGTATTAACTGCTCAAATGTTCCAAAAGCATCCAAAGCAACACTTCCAGTTCTTTCTTGGGCTAGATTTCTCTATCTTCTTAATATTCTTCTCAGAACTACAGGCTGAGCAGGAATATTTCCAGAGAGGAAGAGTTGCCTGGTGTTGCCCACCACATACAGACTGAGCACAATAACTACAGTCTGGAGTGTTAAAATCAAACTGTGAACACACAAGAATAGCTGGCAATAAGTAACTCTGGTATTAAAATAGGGTTTAGCACTGCTGTGGGCTGGAAACTCATCCCACCAGACAAGAGTAGTTAAATCTGTCCCTTTAACACTGCTGGTTCGTGCTATGATGCTGGGAGAAGTTTGGACTGGAACATCTGAGAAATGTAGCCCAGGTTGTCCAACATCTTCAACATGGGAGTAGGTAAACCCTGGAGCTGCAGGAGGAATTGATGTGGGTATGCTGGTGATTTCCACGTCAGACAGCACTGTCTCCTGAGATGATGTGAAGTGTTCTGCCACAGGAGATGTCAAAGTTGAGCTGAACGTCTGATAGGTCATAGCTGTGGTTGGCAGGCACTCCGGGTCATCGATGCTTAGAGACACAAGAGAAATATTCTGCAGTGCCATTGGGCTGTGGCACATCAGAGATGGCACATTTTTAACTATTGCTGTGCTCTTTTGGAGCCATTCTCGGAAACCAAGAATTTGGCAATCACATTTCCAAGGGTTGTCGTCAAGGACAACTTCTTCCAGCTCAGGTAAAGTGGTAAAGAAGTCTGCAGGAAGAGACTGCAGGTTAGTACTATTCAGGTAAACTTTCTGGAGGTGCTTGAGATTATGAAAGAGGTTTCTAGGAAGAACCTCAAGCCTTGTATCAAAGAGGGAAATGTTCTGCAGTTTCTGAAGGCTCAGAAAGATTCCCTCTGGCAAACTGGAAATATTACTTGTATGGAGAGAAAGGCTCCGCAGTTCATTCAGGCCACTGAACACATTCCTAGGAAGAACCGTAAGCTCTGGGTTAAAACTCAGCACAAGAAGCTCTAAATTTGTCAAGTTACTGAACACAAAATCTGGTATTGTTGAGAGCTTTGTATGATACAGCCATAGGCTACCAAGGTGCCTCATCTCTCCAAACAGTACCTCTGGAAGAGCCTTCAGTGGGTTCCTGTACAAGGTCAGTTTAGACAGGTCGTGCAAGCGCAAAAAAAGCCCAGAAGGCAAAACCTGAAGCCTGTTCCTGGAAAGCGTCAGCGTTCTTAGTTTAGGAAGACAGTGAAATGCATCAGGGGCAATGGAATGGATATTATTGGAATGCAGGAAAAGCTCCTGCAGCTCCTTCAGGCTATCAAACATCCCAGACTCTATTGAAGACAGCCTATTAATATACAGCATCAGCCTCTCAAGCCTGGCTAATGCACTAAATATATTTCTAGGCAGTGCTGCTAAGTAATTTCTTGACAAGTTCAGTATTCTGAGTTTGGTGAGTTTCTTCATCACACCACTGGGAAGTGCTGTTAGTTGGTTTTTGTTCAAGTAAAGCTCCTGCAAACCAGCCAGTTTGTCAAACAGATTTTCCTCAATAGATTTCAACCTGTTACTTTCAATGATCAATTGCTGAAGCTGCACTATGTCATCAAATACCTCTGGGGGAAGTTCAACCAGCTTATTATCCAGCAGTTTGAGGACTTTTAGCCTTCCCAAGCCTTTAAAAGCCATTGGTGAAACCAGAGCGATGTTGTTTGAAGACAGGATGAGATGCTGCAGTTCCTCCATCCTAGCAAAAACATCCTGCAAGTACGATATGTTAGCGTTTGTTATGTGAATTTCTGTCATGTTGCAAGGCAGATTTAACAATTCCAGGTCTTTTATGTGGGGACCAGAGCAATAAATTGCATTTTTTGAAGAGCAGTCACACTTCTCAGGACAAACAGATGCATCCAACTGGAAGAAAAGCTTGATCATCACTGACAAACGAAACACCAACATCCTTGTTGAAGTTCCAGAAACATTAGCTGTTACAAGAGATAAGAGAGAATCAGGATTTGATCATAGGTAACTTAGCAGCTCACAAAGATGTGTGATATCATAAACCTGCATATGTGTGCAAAATTTCCCTTGCCTTGAAAACAAACTTCAAAATCTCTTTTATTGTTGACTGCCAATATTTCTGAAGTGCTCAGCTTACACTGAGAAGTACAGGTAAATTAATTTTTGTAACTCAAGTACTCCTTGTTTATATTTGTATTATATTTGTACCAATTAACTATAATAAAAGTATACAAAAATCATGATGAAACACTTAACTAGTCAAAAGACGTATATTTACTTGAACAGAAAAGCATTACAGAATTACAGAAGGGCTTGGGTTGGAAGGGACCTTAATGATCATCTCTTTCCATCTGACAGGGACATCTTCCACTAGACAAGGTTAAGTGTATTATACTAAATTACATGCCAAAAATATTTTCAAAAATTATCAAAAGGTCCTGCACTCACTGTGTTTTTCATTGTAAGTTATCTGAGGTTAAAAAATAAAGTTTAGCCTGCAAAAATAGACAATGGAGGTAAAAAGGTTGTCCTGTACTTTAAGTGGTGAAAAGCAAAACAGCACTGTCCAGTTAAATCCTGTCTCAGCATTTTCAAGTGATGGCTTCTTGGAACAGCCCAGGAACACACAAGAAGGAACAGGCTATTTTTGACACAGCCTGAAATAACACAGAAGACCCCATATGGCACAGGACAGTAGTGAGCCTCTGATAACCACCAAGCCTCATTTCAACAGCTTAACACAATACCAAGCTATCAGCAGTGGAATTGGAAGTACAGTAAAACGAGAGGAAAGAAGTGCACGAAATTAGATGGGAAGTTGTAGCAATGAAGGTACATCTGCATGAAACACACCACAAAGTTGGAAAGTTGCATACATTTCCAAACAGGAAAGCAATCATTGTAGGTATAAATGGTAATATTTAAAAGAGCAAGTCAAACAGAAACCCACAGAAATACTTCCTCAATGAAATCAACAAGTCCAAGTGTATCAGAAACCTGGATGTCAAGCACCTGGCTGAGCAGCAGAATAAGCAGCAGCTGGGACCACTGGAAAAGCTACAAAACTTCCACAGATGTAACTGGGATAACTGACACAATGTCAGCCCTCTGCACCAGGAACATGGGGGAGAGGAAGGCTCCATCCCCACATGCTCTTTCTCAGGGGTGAAGATGAAGCCCTCCCATACCAATCCCACTGACAGACTGCTGGGTACAACCCCCTTCACTGGAAGGGAAATCAGGAAGGACAGCAGAGCTTCTGAGGCACCTGAACTGCTGACAAGAATATACTACAACAGATCCAAAACAGCTGCATGTCCAAACCAGCTACTGCATTAAAGAAAAAAAAGCCAGAAGAGCAAAAGGGAGTGCTTTAAAAAATTTAAATTTTATTCAGCTTCAGAGCACTGAAGTCTGGTAAAATGTCTAACTCTCCCTCAGGAAGGGAAGGATGTGGCATTTAGGGCTATCAACAACCAGCAACATGGTGCCACAAAACAAGATCTCATTGGGCTTTTCACAACTCATTGAATGAGACATAGGCATCACCACAAAATAGCACGAGATTCCACTCTTCCAAAGATCTTTTACATGTCAAACAAGAATCTTTCACAGAATCTCACCCTCCTAGTAATCCTCCCTACCCCAAAACTTTGTCATAAGCCAGTGATGCTTTTACCTCAATGAATTTGTAACTCAGCCCATCCCTGATCCTATGTATCTCCACGAGCAGAACCCTCCATCCAGAAACACAGTAAGAAATTTCTGTTTCAAGCCCTGACTTGAACCAAATGGATGGAAAAACCCCCAGTTTGTTATGCTAAAAACTGTAAATGCAGGTCCCTTGGAAGGTATGACTACAGGCTACTCTGTAAAATCAGAAACAGACTAACACTAGGCTCTAAGTTCGTGATGACTCTTTTCCTGGTCTAATAGCAAAAGATAAGAGAGCATACAAGAAGACAAGCAGATGCTCAGAAATGCTAGAAAGCACTAGTTTTGACAAACAGCAAAATGGTAGAAATTCTCTGCAAGATATGAAGGCTGTAAGTGCTGTCACAAGAACTGGAAAAGCCTATGGGTCTCAAACAACTAGAGCTGCTAACACTATTTAAAAAAAAATTTTAAGATTTTAACAGTACAGAATACAGTAATACCCACAATAAAGATAATTAGACATTCCCATGCCTTAAAATTCTCTCAAACCCTCACATGAGACACCTGGCATTCCAGAAAAGGCACCAGCCTGGCTGGTCACTTACCAAAGTCTGGTCTACAGCGTCTTTCCCTTTCAGCCCCCCTTCCCCACCACAAAGGATACCAGAGGCAATACATTAATATTGTTACTATATCAGAAGTCTCAAATCAGTTTTGAACTTACAGAACACTGAGCACATGTATTGCTTACAGTGGTGCTTACCTCTTTCACTGTCTTGCAAGTTCCTATACTCATACAAGCATGACAAAGAAATTTTGAGCTGTACCTTAGAAACTTATCTGCTTTTAAAGGAACTTACTAGGAGCAGAGCAGGCAATCAGGCTTCACCATGACACTGCACTTTAAATGGGAAGTAAAACAGCAAAAGGCATCCTCTAGATAACACTTTCACCCGTACTTGTCCAGTTACTGAAACAGGCCAAAGGCCAAACAATATTTGAAGCTTCAGAGCAGATTTTTGCTTATAATTCAAGCAACCAACTTCCACAGGTTGTATGTAACTCCAAAAGTAGGGCTTGAAACCACTCACATAACAGGAGAAAGTTTTAAGTCACACACCCAACAGCAGAAAACCCACTTGTAGCTTCTTTGGCAGTGATATTGGGGTATGTGCTTCAGCCAACCCAAAGCACATCAGAGTGAAGTCAGGAATCTACATTTCAATGTGAGATGTGATCAGAAATTTCAAATTTGTCACCGGTCTTCTAAATAGGTTTTGAAGGAGTGAACACATCGATGCACTTTAAACCAGGTGCTCCTACCTTCACAAAGCTGCTCTGACTTTTAATTTCTTGCAGGATTGGAGTCAAAGCAATTTCAGCAAGGAATGAAGGGGTTTTTTACTTAATGCTTTGGCTAAACATTCCAAGGTTGAAACATTTAGTTTCTGTTTTTCCTCAAAGTCTTCCGGTGTGGCAAGCCAACAAAACCTAAAACCTGTAAGATTCTGAAAGAGAAAAGCTAAGTTGTAAAAATAGAAGCTTGAAATTGAAAGATTAAGTTTTTGTTATTAACTAAAAAGGTTTCTTAGGTATCTTGTCTTCAAGTTTAAAAGAATGTGCTCTGCCAATGACTGTTTAAATGGAAGGTGAGGCACAAGACAGAAAAGATGTCTTCATTTCCACATGATTTTGCTGAAGATGACTGTGACAATGGTGACAGCTCAGATCATGCCTCCCACATGTCCAAACAGAAGGAACATCTGAATAACCAAAGGTGGAAACAAGCTGCTATCACACGTACAAGGCATTAGAATGGCTCTCCTAGGCCACCAGGAAAAGCTGCAGTCAGTGTGATCCCCTGCAGAACAGTAACACAGCAGGCACCCCTCCCACCCCATCTGCAGAATCAGAGGCACTGAACAACATATCCATGACATCAGAGGGAGTAAGCCTGTGTTCTTCAACAAGCTTTCCACCTAGTTCTATAAAGAATAATTAAAACAATTTCATGAAACTAATGAGAAGAGTTAAAATATCCATTCATTTTAATTTTATTTTCAAAGAGCTTCAGTCACAAAAATGATTTACAAGTCTATTTACAATTCTATTGTACAGTTATTTATGTATGCCTCTTGACAACAGGGTACCATTCTAGAGCAGCAATACATATTTTAAATACAAAGATGTAGTATCATTTCAGATTTAAAAATAAAAGGAAGCTGAGCTTCTAGAGAGTGCTGTAATGATGAACATTTTAATCTGTGTTAGGCTTGAGGAATTAATGACAAACTAAGTAGTTTCTGGTTCACATAATTATTAAACAACCTGCAGTTTGTTGAAAATAGTTTTAAAAACCTGAAGCTTTACTGTATATAAAATCAACATATTCAAGACTCTAAAAATTGTCAAAAACCCACAGCTTTCCCTTAGACATACAAAACCCTAAGTTTACAATTCAGAGTTTCATGGGAGAAATCCAACAGGACTTGAGCTCTCTCATTTTGTGATGACCAACATAAGCATTACAAATTTGCAGCATAAAAAGGACTCCACATCTGCTTAGTATTATACTGCATATACACATATACAGTACAGGATTATTTACCCAATTTGGGATGACTGTTCAGCACAACCTTCATGAAGAAAGAAAAAAATAAATAGAATTAAAAATCCAACAACTTTTTAAAAAGTGCAACAGTAAGAGTTTCCAATTTAAAGTTAGGATGAATATGGACAGTCAGTTCTGTGGGTTTTTTCAGCCGCTTCTATTCAAGCATTATTTGCAGCATTTTCTTTTTACAGTAGATTTATTTCTATAGTACATGAAACTAGAGTTACTGCTAATTGAATCTGAAGGGAAAGGAAGGAAAAAAACTTTAAAAATAACCCTGAGGGATATACAATTTCATGATCTTGTAATTTATTTCTAAAAAGTAACATTTATTATTTAGCAACTGCTTTTCTGGATAGACCAGTCCTTTAAGTATGTGCATAAATAATATTTAAAAATCAGTAATATTTACAAATCCTAATACATCAAAATAAAATACGTACAGATTGAAGTCTGCATACACAAATAATTTAATAATAAATCAAACTCCTCAACATAAGGCCAAAATATACAGCAGGAAGAAAATGTCTACCCAGTATCTAGTGGAGCTCACTAACTTGGTCTGTTCACCTGAATTTAGATTTCCAAGATGAACACTGAAAAAGATTTTTTTTCACTACAAAATGAATTTCATCTTACTTCAAAACAGAAACTGAATACACTAGTGCAGATCTAGTTTGCTGCATTTCTGAAAACCAGAAAAACTAAACTGCTCAAAATGAGAAAAATTATAGGTGGTCAAATTCAGCTCTTGGGCAGGAAGGCATAAATCCCAATAATTGCAGAAAATGCAAAAGCTTATTTTGTGGCTGAACTTGCAAGAACAAGATGGATTCTCAGAAAAGCTGATTTATTATTCTTGACTAAGCGTCAGAGCTCAAGCATGCAACCTCAGGAACATTTACCAACCCTGAACGCAGACCTGGAGGAAACAAGCTCCCATTTGCAAAACATTCAAGTTTACTCGCTCATGAGCCATTAGTCACTCAGTTAAGTGGAGACACTTGGCCATTTCTGCTTTAGTAACAGTTCCCTAAAATGTTCTCTGAAGACAAGCCCGCCCTAAAGAGCTGTTTTCCTCCTCACTTTCTAGGTAAGTCTAATAAACTAGAATAAGACTGAAAAAGTAGCTTCAGAAACCAAACAAGCCAAGAGAAATTATCAGTCTAGGAAAGTATTAAGCAAAAGCATATAAAAGGGAAAGACACAAATATTTTCTTTCAGTTCTCATGAAACAGCAAATCTAAAATGGTCAGTAAAATGGAAAGCAGAAGCTTATGCGTTTAAGGATAAGTCACAGCTCCCAGGTCCAAGATGCATAGCTTCACAATATTTTTCAACTAAATTATTATTTTTGTTTAGATTTGAATACTACTTACGCAGCTAAGAATTATTCTTCATCAGTTATTCCATGCTACAAAGATTTTGTAAAATCAACATCGGCAGAAATTAGCCAACTGACTCAGGTTCATGACTAATTAATGTATCCAATGTTTGCAGACCCTTTAAAAGCCACCAATGTTGTTCAATGTTTATGACCTTACGAAGCCAGGATAATAAAGAACATTGCTCTGTTGAATGAATGCTAAGAAAACCACTTCCCCCTTTCCCCCTGCTCCACTCCTCAAAAACAAACAACAACAACAACAACAGAAATCAGGAAAAGAGTTGACAGCTGGACTGGAAGATAGTACACCCATATGCATACTATTTAGGAGGAGCAATAACTTCAACAACCCAGTTCTAGGAAAAGGTCTTCCAAACCATTTAGCACCACTTTTAAATTCCCTGTTGGCACCGTATATTCAACACTGCAGAAACCACAACATGATTGACATTAACATGGTTAATGGTTGATGATTTTGAAGGTCTTTTCCAACCTTAATGATTCTATGAGCAGCAGGGCACACTGTCCATACTGTCCTACAGAACAGCACAAGGGAATTAGGCCTGATCTGAAAAATTCTGCTTATTAAAACAAGGCTGGAATGGAATTGTCTCCACAGGAATTTAAAAGAAGAAAACAAAACAAGACAACCCAGAAAAAAAAAAAAGAAAAAAAAAAAGGAAAAAAGAAAGAAAAAAATCCCTAACATCAAAACCTCAAATTCCATAATCAGAATATACACACTTCAAAACAATCCCAGCCAGCCAGTGCGCCTGGGGCCCTCATTCCACAACTACTCTAAAGGACCCCACTTCCTTCTCTAAAGGATCTCTACAGAATCATGACTTCTTCAGACCCCAGATCTCCTCCCAAAGCTTGGAGGTGTCTGGACCAGTTAGTTGCCTCTGGTCAAAAACAGACTGATCAAGACTTAATATTTATCATCTTCCCAAAGACACTAAGGAAGACTTTTCAGAAGTAATTTACATTTTCCAAAGTCAAAGACATTTACAAAGTTGACAATAGTTTCCAGATAAGTAATTTGTAGTTTAAAAAAAAAAAAGTTTTAAGCCTTGCAAGTCAAAGTGCTGTCTGCCTCTACTTCTTTGTAGACCTGTTTTTCTAGTGGTCTTGTGTTCTGATACTGCCTCATGGCAAAATGATGTATGGCTACCCCTAGTGCTTAAGCAGCATTAGTGGTGATACAAGCTTTAATTTTTTTCATCTTTTTTTTTTTTTTTTAATAAATAAAATCTGCATAAGCCTTACAGTTCTGCAGCAAGACAGACTTTAGCCCAATTTTCTCTTAATTTTGTTTTGTACAGCTACATGTAGCGCTGAAGACACTGGCAGGCTCCGAAATGCCTGTGCTCTTCACGTGCACAAACCCCACACGTGGGCATGTGACAATACCTTCCTCCACCCCCATATCCCTTGCAGCAGTAACTCTGGCCTTACTACTTCAAGGTATATAGGAAAATTATCTTTAGATTTACAAATAAAACATGGTCCACAAAAGGATAATCCAACCCTTCTGCTGGAAAAAGCAAGGTTTGTGGAGAAATGCATAGCTAAATGTAATAAAACATGACACAGAAAAGAGTGTTTAGATTCTCCATCCTTCTTTCTCCAAAAACTTTAGAGTGTAGCCAAATGGCTCCTCCCCTGGAGGCCACCTAAGCCTTCTCTGTGGTTAGCTAGAAGAGAAGTCAAGAATCCACATGAAAGCAATGTGCTTATTTCTTAAGGACAGAGCACATTGCTACTACAGCATTCCCAATTCCTGCTGTGGCAGACTAAAGAATTGAAATTAGAACCCAAACATTACACCTGGAAACACTCCTTATTAATAGGGACAAACTTAAGAGGTACACACACAAACTTCAGAACCGTTCTGAGGCACAAAACTTTTCATCAGTCAAATAAAAACCAACTAAACAAACAAAATAACCCCAACCAACCAAAAAGACAGACACAAAAAAACCCCAAACCATGACAAGGTTATTATGCACCTCTAGTACAGCCATGAAACCATCACATCATAGGGTTTACATGAACACATGCCCAGATAAGCAGATTAGAACAACTATTAAAGTACTCCAGGCAAATAATGTGAACCTGTTTTAACTGCCCTGCAGTTTAAACCTTCAAATGCATCTCATTTAGGAACAATGAAATCTGAAAGAAGGTGGAAGGAAACACAGTAATTTTTGTTCTGCCTAAGGTAACTTACATTTTTAAAATGTATAGCCATAGGACACCTGGCTCTGAATTTTGTATTCAGAGAGACAAAATAGTTGGAAATATCTGAATTAGAATTTGACATTTAGCACACTGCAGTTTCAAATAAAGCCTTAAAATTACATTCTTCTGAATACTAGTAAAGGTACATGCCACCAGGATCCACTGCTACGTTACAGTGATGATTTGATATGAACCATTTTCTTGGGATGGTACTTTTGCTTCTGTTGTTGTCCTGGGTTTTGGTGGCCATTCTGGATCAACCAGCAGTTCCTGAGCTAGGTGCATATACTTGGCTTTTGGTGTCTTCTCTCTACAACCAAACAGGGAAGAAAGGAAACAGACTCCACAGCGGTCCCCAGCCTCCTGCAGAAGTGAACAAATTTGAAAATTGGATTACCATAACAAAAACAAAAGTCAGTAACAATACAGTAAATCACTAGAAGAAAAACTTATTTCAGTCTTTAATTTACTATTTCATTATCACATTGGATTGGACCTGTGGTACAGAATCCCTTCTGTTGTGTCTTCTATACTATGGTAGTAATGACATTCAAAAAACATTATTAAGAAAAAAACAAACCATTTCACATTATCATAACATCTAAGACCACCAACAGTTTTTATGCATATTCTACAATAATTTCAATAATTACAGATAGACCAGGGAACAATAAATTATTTTACTGTTAGAGAATAAAAGCCTGGCCTAGAAAAATCAAATTCCTAAAATCCCAAAACACTTTTTAAGTCGTGAATTGTTAAACTGAAGGCAGCCAGTCAGACAAAAGTAGCAGAATTTAACTTGCTGGTGAAATCTAAATACTGCAGGTATTAATAGCTATTAAAAAGGACACAAATTATTAAACTTAAGACCTCCTTCCTATGTTTCCTCTCCCAGTCTTAAAAGCATGTAATTAAATTAGCTGGGGAGGAGAAACACCATTCCACATTCTTAAGAATGAATCCCTCTCATGTCTCAGAGAGCACCTATAGTCTACAGGGCTGACACTTTAATAGTAATATATTCTATAGTTTTCATTATGCTCTAAATGTCTATCAATTGGTGAACTGAAGCAAATGTGAGCCTTGAGCACAGTTTTCATTCTTCAGCGACCACAAAACAATTTGTTCTACAACAGCCTCAAAAGGACAAATGTAAATCTGAAGTGAATATATTTAATAAAATTTAGTGCTGAGAAATAAACCACTATAATTCTAGCAAGCACAAATGTATAATCGGCCAAAAGTAGTAAGGCAACAAGCTTAAAGCTGTTTTTTATGGGATTCACATAGATTTCCTTCATGTATTAACAGCAGAGGGGCAGACCAGACCAAAATTCATGGTCACCTGAAAAATCTGTGTCCTAAACCATCTGAAGCAGTAATAGTGTATTTTCATTTGCCATCTTGTTTTGTTTCATTTGTACATGCTGAAAATTACTGCTCTCAGACAAGGACCCAGAACTCTAAACCAAATAATTTATTTTAATTGCTTCTAAGCAAATCAAGATGTTCCCAGTCCTAGTGTACTAACTTGTGACACCAAAACAATTTGCTAATGTGGAAACTAAAGATGAAGTGAGAAAAGTCTTAAAGCAATACTCTAGGTTTGTTTCACTGTTCTTGCACACACACTAAACTCTTTAAGTGCCAATATAGAAAAAAATATAAACCCAGAAGCCTTTGCTTTTAATGAAATCTAATTTAAGAAGACTTAAGCTAAAGATAAGGCAACAGACACTTAGAGATAAGAGACAAAACCAAATTAATCCACATGCACTCAAATGAGGACAGCAAAATACTCGTCTCCAACCTGAGGCGGCTGGGGTATGGTGAGGCGAGATTCTCCTTGTTTGTCTCGATTGAACACAACCTTCCAAAGGATCATATCAAGGAGGACATTCTGTGAGACATTACAGTGAGTGGGAAGAGTTAAAGAAACTAATGATCAATTGTTGTTAGTGTGCACATTACAAATAAAACCTGAAACAGTGGGTTAGCCATAACTAATTCAATGGTGAGCAAAACGGAGAGTCTATGCTACTTTTGTTGGTACTTTTGTGATAAACATTTCCATTCTTAAAGTGCTCACACAAAATTTAAGAATATGAACAGGTACTCTAAAATCAACAGCAACAATGACCAAATCTGCATCCATCTCCATGGGTAAAAAACATAAATACACATGTGTTTCAATACTCTAAAAACCTGTGAAAGCACCACATGAAGACATGAGTGCTTAGAGCAGTTTCCCCATAAACCATCTTGGAGCTATCCTTTTTACATAGTCTGTTCTAAACTAGTGACATTCTCAGAAAAGTAGCAGTGGCGTGGCAGAGCTGGGCCACCAGTAGGAATAAAGGAATTTGGTATGTGTAATGCCATGTTTTTAAAAGAGGGCAGAATTTGAATAGTATGTTGAGCACATCTGGTTATCCTCATACAGCTGCATGGGCAGATTTAGGAGCTTTGAGCAAATCTGACAACACAGGTGTGAACTTGTACCTTCCATGGCCTCGAGCCTACAACTCTGATCCTTGGACAGATTCCATTGCTAACATCTGACTAACTGCTGCCATTGAAAATGGGAAGCTGATTAGTCAGACTTTTGTAACAGATTTTTATAGTGCTTATGATTTTATAATGTACCACAATTTGACAGTGCTTTTATAAAGCATCAGCTAACAAATCTTCAGCTTGTTAGATGTTCATTTTTGAAGCCAGTCTGGTTTAAGCATGTCTATACCAGGCATCAGGGGTGAGGAGGAACAGCTGCTAGGATCTGCCTTTGTTGTGCAATATTTTCTATCATATGGTAGAAAGAATCTGCATGCTTTGTGATCCTAGTCTGGCACCCACATGGAAGGAGCAAAAGCTTTTCAGGGCATTTCAGAAAACAAATAGAAAACAACA